CCGAGGACCCCTTGTCGTCACGAAGGTACTGCCAAGAGACGCATACCAAGTTTCTGCCCTAAAAGGGACAAGAAGCAAACATTACGTCACGACGGCCCACACCAGCTCCCTAAAGACTTGGTCATCGTCATCCAATGCAGATGACGATGACGACGCTACGGGAAACGAGGACGTTTCCTCAGTCGAATCCCGGAGAAAAGCTTACCTGAGAAAAGCTCACCGGGGGAAAGCTCACCGAAGAAAAGCTCACCGCAAAAACCGGCGGATGCGGAGGAAAGCTCACCGGCCATTCAGCGCATGCGGCGAAAAGCTCACCGATTTTTTTCTTCTTTTCACATGGAGGCTGTCGGAGCATGCGAAACGTACATCAACCGCCATTAAACTTAAGTCGTTTTTTCTAAAAAAAGGAAATGCCTTTTTTTTTTGTAATATTTTCTTAAGCTTACTGGGTATATTGCTCCCAAATTAATAATTGTGGGCGAGGCGAGTGTTTTCTGTGGTTTACTCTCTATAGGGCAACGAAAGCCTAACTAAATGCTTTATAAACTTGAAAAAAAGGAAAAAAAGTTCGAGAACCTAATTATGTTTGCCTAAAACCCAAAAAGCAAAACTGTAAATGCCGAAAATCCCAAAATGCATGCGCAACAAAATGGTGCCTGAAATTATCCTTGAATCTTTTGTTAACCTTCGAAAACAGGATAGAACGGTCAGTAGGATATTGAGGTTTTTTTCTTCCACGGACATGCACGGTTTCTACCTGGTTTGTGCTGGTTTTTTCCACACGTTGCCTTTGTGTGATAGAGCCCTTTTATGGCGAACCGCCCATGAACTTCAGAGCTGCACACTGTCACCGTTGTTACTCGGGACCTATATAAGAACTAGCCTTGCGTAAAGTAGCGAATTGGGCGAGTGGTAAACGTTATGCATGATGAAAACCGTTCAAGCGACGAAGACCGAGTGAAGACAACAAACACGACAGGACAAAGTTGTTCTCGCAACTAAAGTTGTATAACTAAAAAAAACAGTGTAGCCGACACTGATTGCATCAACGAACACCTACTTATATGTCAGGCACCACACAACCTTTGGAGCTGAAACGGTTCACACACCGCATTCATAATAGCTCGCAAAAAAAAAAAAAAAAAAAAAAAAAAAAAACTTTTTATCTGACAGAGCTACCGATGGCGCACTGTCAAGCTGTAAATAAATTGTTGTATTTTTTTATGGGTGTCCCATGTCCTGATCTTATATTTGCGGCGCCATTAATATACAGAATGTGTGATTGCTAATTTCTGAGGAATTAGTAAATATGCCTTATAAACTTCAAGAATATTACAAAAAAGAGGACACTTATTTTTAATGAAGTGACGACTTCTAATCGTGTCAAACTGCCATGTATGACTTACAATCCGCCTAAGCTAAGAAAAAAAAAAAAAATCGGTGAGCCTTTCTCCGCATCCGCTCAAGTGCCGGTGAGCTTTTCTCCGCATCTGCCGGATTTCCTGTCAGCTTTTCTCCGGTAACCTTTTCTCCAGTGAGCTCTTCTCCGCTGCCCTCCATAGTCAGTACGGCCGAGCAGTGGCGCCACGAGGGTCAGCGGCACCCGGGGTAATAGCCCACCGCGACCCCCCCCCCCCCCCACCCCGTTCTCGTGGCCCGCCGCGACACCCCCCCTGAGCGCTGCACCCAAAACAGTCCGCCCGCCCGCCGCTTCCCCCCCCCCCCCCCCCCCCGCCCCCCCCCTTGTGACGCCACTGCGGCCGAGTGTTAGCGATCCGTTGAGTTGACCGCCCGGTGCGGCGGAGAACTAGTCCTCGGTTGGCAACCACGGAGGGGAGAGACGCAAGATGGCGCCGGCTTGATCGGCCCGAACTACTATCGTCTTTAAATAAACCAGTTTGTTTATGAACGTTCGTGGCTATTACTTTCTAAACT